GGGGGGCAGGCGCTGGGCGGTCAGGGACAGCGCCCGGGCTGGCTGTGTGATTGCCTTCTCACCTACCCATACACGCACTTGCCCAACCTTTCGGCGCCCCCACCCTGTGTCTAGGTCATCACCCACGGCGCCACTCGTGATGAGGCGCGCATGAAGATGATCGATGCCCTGGACAACTACGCCATCCAGGGTGTCCGCCACAACATCCCGCTCATCCGTGACGTGCTGACCGCCCCGCGCTTCGTCGAGGGTCGCATCACCACCAACTACCTGGAGGAGGAGTATCCCGAGGGCTTCCAGGGCTACTCCCTGAAGGGGATCGAGCTGGACGAGCTGCTGGGTGTTGTCGGCAAGATCTACGCCCAGACCGAGGCTTTCAAGCGCTCCTTCAACACCGAGACCACCGGTACGTGTGGCATGCCTTTGCTCTTCCTTCTCTTTTTTTTTTTTCTCCTCGCGCCTGTCCGCGGTGGGGGGGGGGAGGAGGCCACATCTCGGCGCATGTGCACAGCCCCGGACGCACGTTTCTGACCCTCGATTCCGCCTCTCCCCTCTTGCCCCCATGCACACAGCGGTCCTCAATGACGGGCCCACTGCCTGGGATACTCACATCCGCATCGCCGGTGTCGGTGAGTACCGCGCGGTCATCCATGCCGCCACGCCCGAGCGCCCGGTCTTCATGGAGCTGGTCGAGGAGAACCGCGTTCTCGGCTACGACACCGACTCCTGGTCCCCGGGCCAGTCCATCATCCACGGCGCCGTCCTGGCCCTGGACGAGGGCAAGGCCACCTCCTACGACCCGGACGGGCCCATGGGTGACATCTCCCTGGTCAGCACCCCCACCTCGCAGTTTGTGTGCTACACCCCGCTCGGCTTCAAGCTGGTCCATTGCGGCACGGAGTTCGACGTCCAGGTCCTCACCCATCGCCAGTACCTGGCCTCCAAGCACATGCTCCCCAAGGCCGAGCTGGACACCTCGTCCGTGGTCCTGGCCCCGATGCCGGGTACCGTCGTCTCGATTGCCGTCCAGCCCGGCGACCGCGTTGTCGAGGGCCAGGAGGTGGCCATCGTCGAGGCCATGAAGATGCAGAATGTCCTGCGCGCCTCGCGCGACGGCATTGTCAAGGCCGTCAGCATCAAGGCCGGCTCCTCGGTGTCGGCCGATGAGGTGATCATCGAGTTCGAGCCCCTCCCCAAGAAGGAGGCCGAGTAAGGAAGAGCTGGCGTGTGCCTGCCCATCTCTCCCACTGCGCTGTGTTCTGCACCGGGGTGCATCTCTCGGCGCCCCGCATGCGTAGCATGCGCCTCCATGTCGCTGCTGGCCATATGCATGTCACGTCTCCTCCCTCTCCCTGCGTGCACCGCATAGACACACACACACACACATCCAAAGGGCGAGCATCAAAAAACATGTGCAAGCTTTTGCATGTGTGTGCGCTTTCCTCCTCTCTCTCCCTCTTCGCTTTTTGGCCGCGCGCGCGCGTGCCTGCCTTCCTCTACTCCCCTGCCCACCCCGAGCGTTGCGCGCGCGTGCCCACCAACAACAGAGGCAGGGCCCCGGAACGAGCCCCTGTTCTCTCCCGTGTGCTCGTGCGGCGGATAATACAAAACCATTGGAAAAAAAAAAAGACCGGCCCTCACGCGCATG